TTGTGAGCCACCATGTGGGTGCTGGGAATTGAACTCAGGACCTCTGGAAGAGCAGCCAGTGCTCTTAACCACTGAGCCACCTCTCCAGCCCTGATTTCAGTTTTTAAACTGAGGCTCTTTCACCAATTTAAAGTGACCAAAGAGTTGTCCATCATCTGTGTCCAAATGGGAAGGACAGCCATGGGGCCTGCCCATATTTCCCCTACAGGAACAGATTGCCATCCTGAGCAGACATCAAGCAGGCACTAGAAACTGAAAGCACATTCTGGTTTGATGTTGCACACACAAGCCTGACAGCTTGCCTCTGTCAACCGGCACATAAGCCCCACAAGACTGGACTCTGTCACCTAGACATTGTATCACCAAAGTTAAAATGAAGGTCTAGAATCCCATAAAGATTGTAAGATATCAGGGAGCTGGAGAGATGGCCCAGTGCTTAAGAGCATTGGATGTTCTTCCAGAGGATGAGGGTTCAATTCCTAGTACCACCTAGCTCACAACTGCCTGCAACTCCAGTTCCAGGGGGTCTGACACCCTCACACAGACATACATGCAGGCCAAAGCAGTTCACATAAAATAAGAATATATAAATCATTTAAAACTTGTTAAAGAAATAAAACATTTTAAAAAGGTTTTAAGGTATCATCCTGATTGATCAGTGGACTCATCATTACATTCCCAGTCATCTTCCAATAGCAGAGCTTCTGCTTTGAGCCATTGAAAGTTACAAGTATGGGAGCTGGAGAGATGGCTCAGAGGTTAAGGGCACTGACTACTCTTCCAGAGGTCCTGAGTTCAATTCCCAACTCCCACATGGTGGCTCATAACCATCTGTAATGAGATCTGGTGCCCTCTTCTGGCCTGCAAGTGTCCTTGCAGGCAGAACACTGTATGTATAATAAATCTTTTTTTAAAAAAAAGTTACTCGGATAGTTATCCTAGATAAGTTGTTATGACGATACCCCATAATTTGATTGGGGTTAAAATAAAACTATATTTCTCATTTGTGTAAGATCCAAAAGTAACATTCCCAAGCTGTCCAAGCTGTTCCCTCCAGCAGTGGCTCAGGGGTCCAGGTTCCTTCTATCTTGCCACAGTGTCCTGACCAGTATCACATGGTTTCCAAGGCTCCTGGAGAGGAAGGCATGGCTGAAATTCATCTCCAGCTCAGAAATGACACAGCCCGAATTTCTGCTTACACTGTTTTAGCCAGACCTAGTCTTTTGAACCCAGCTAGGGAGAACTTGGAGAGTTTGGGCATTTGGCTAGACAGCTCCAATCTCACAGTACTTCTAACATGGAAGCAGAGTGTGCATCTTTGAGGGTCAATTAGCATCCTGCATGGAGAGGCTGGAGAGGTGGCTCAGTGGCTAAGGGATCTTACAGAGGACCTGAGTTGGATTCCTAGGACCCACTTTAGGTAGATCACAACTGCCTGAAACTCCAGTCCCAGGTGATCCAGCATCCTCTTCTGGCCTCTGCAGGCTCTGTACTCATGTGCACAAACCCATACTCAGACAGAGACATATACATACAATTTAAAAAGAAAAAGAAAACATTTGAAAAATAAAAATAGGTTCTCCTCAGTTCCTCCAGAACTGAACCCAGACCATGAATCTCTGCTGGCCCCAGGTGCATGTCTCTGGTGCCAGCTGTTAATGTACCTCCCACAAAAGGTTCTACTATCTATAAAATTCCTGGTATTCGCCAGAGGTCTCAGGACCAAACACCCACCTGCTACATCAATAATGACAGCCATGCTCGCTCTGTAAGGAAAAAGATCATATCCACTGGCACAACTGGTCTAGCAGCCAAGCACTGAGTCTACTTGGTAGCTTTGCTTTTACCCACCCTAGAGGGAGTAAACACCCCAGCCTCCAAGGGCCCTGGTTCCTCCATCACTTTCTAGAGAAAGAATTGGATTCCAGAGCTGGCTGATGACTTGTCCAAGGTCACACAGCTTGTCAGGTGCAGAGCTGGGGCCAGCCCACTCTCTTGTCTCTCCTTTGCATCACACGTATTCAAAATTTCCACAGACCGGTTGCTAACCCTGCCACTCGACCCCCAGCCGCTGCTGTTTCATGCTCGTCCCCACCAGCTCTTGCCTGTGGTTTATACTTCCCACTCATCGACCAGATCCTCCACCAAAGCTGTTTTCTGAGCTTTTTCTGACCAGAGCACCCGGATTCAGAGAACAGTAGACTGGTCCTGGGGATGCCTGGCTGCCCAGGTGTGTACCGTGGGAGGGCATTTGTCCACCATCCCCCAGCTTTGTCAATTCAACATTTAACAGATCAGAACCGAGTAAGAGATCTCCCTTGGGAATAGCTCGCGTTAGCCAGAGGATGCTGCTCTGTTAACTACCACAGAAAAGATCACGGTTAGATAGGGTCACCTACCCAGGGTAAGAAACTTGAGTGATTCTATGTGGCCAGAAAAGTTCCTCACTGAGCAGAGACCACCCCCCAGTAGTTCTAGAGGCCTCTCAACATTCTAATATTTCTCTCTGCTGTATAATTTGAGAACCTCTTATAAGCAGAAGCCTAGCTGAGGACATAATGGCAA